ACCCTAAACCCTAAACCCTAAACCCTAAACCCTAAATCTATCTTAATTATCTATCCTTCCCTCCCTTATACTACTTTCTTGCATAATGCCCTCTCCTTCTGCCTAAACCCTAAACCCTAAACCCTAAACCCTCCCTACCTGTTGTATTCTTCTTGTTGCTCATAATGCCCTCTCCCTCCGCCACCTCCTCGGCCTCTCCTTCGTCCATAGTACCCAGGACCACCTCGGGGGCCCCCCCTAGGGGCCCCCCTTGGTGGGCCCCCAGGGCCCCCTCCTCCTCTATACCAGGACCCTGCAGGGACATCATCTCTTCCCCAACATCGACTAGAGTTCTGGGGGCCCCCCATGCCCCCTCCTCGTCCTCTGCTGCTGCCGCCTGGGGGCCCCCTTGAGGGCCCCCCCCATCCTCCTCCGCTGTCTGATGGGGGCCCCCATCCGTCGCGGGGGCCCTCGTAACGACCGTTAGGTTGAAATGAAGAAGAGGGGGCCCCATGAAACCCTGAGGGTACAGCAAGAAAAAAAAAGAATAAATAAATGCATGCATGCATGCATGCATGCATGTAGATACTGCTGCAGTGTCTATCTATACACGTCCTGCTGCTGTTATTGCTGCTGCTGCCGCTCCTGTTCCTGCTGCTGTTGCTTCTCCTACTGCTGCTGCTTCTGCTGCTGCTGCTGCTGCTGCTGCTCTCCTGCTGCTGCTGCCTATTTAATATAATATTTTTCTTTTATTTATTTTTCCTCATTAAGGGAAAAAAATAAAAGTATTAATTGGGGTGTATAGGCAGCTCCTGTATATATACTAACCTCTATCTCCTCCTCTCCCTCTCGGCCCCCCTCTGTGTCCTCCCCTGTTCATTGTTATTGCTGCTGCTGCTGCTGCTGCTGCTGCTGGGGAAGGAAGGCGGGTATATCGATACCGCACGCACTAGGAGTCTCCTTGTACATTACGCATGCATTTATTTATTTATTTTTTCTTTTTTTTTTTGTTATTTTATCCCTCCTTAATAAAAGAATAAAAAGGGAATAAAAAAAGGGTACTGAATTAATCTAAATATTATTTGTTGGGGCCTCCTATAGGGGGCCCTCCTTCTTCCCTACTAGTTATGTATATATAAGCTGCTGCTACAGCTGCTGCTGGTACAAGAGCTGTTGCTGCTGCTGTTGCTGCTGTTGCTGCTGCCTTCCCTGTACCAGGGAAGAACAAAGAAATATAAAAGGAATATAAAAGAAAGAAAAACAAATAAAGGAGAAAAGAAGAGAAAAAGAAGAAGAAGAGTTTTCTTTGTTTATCCTTATACAGCATAGAAGACATATATAATATAAAAGCGCATGCAACAGCAGCAGCAAAGATTACCGCAGCAGCAGCAGCAGCAGCAGCAGCAAATGGAGGCAACAACTCCTATTTTTGCAGCGAGGCAATTTTATCTTCCCTTAAAATGAAGCAGCAGTAGCAGCAACAGCAGCAACAGCAGCAGCAACAGCAGCAGAGCATGCGAGAAGCCGCCGGCGGGCCCCAGCAGCAGCAGCAGCAGCTGCTGCTGCTGCAGTCCTGCAACAAGTTCATATTTTTTTCCTTCTTTTTTATTTTTTATTTAAATATAATTAAATATCTACAAATAACTCATTACCTTCAATTATAATTATTTATATTACCCCTATTATACCAGTCAAACAGGAGCAGCAGCAGCAACAACAGCAGCAACAGCAGCAGCTGTCTTGACACCTTACGCAACAGCAGCAGCAAACAACCTATTAGATATTAATTAAACATTTTATTCTTCCTTCTTTTTTTCTTTTTTCTCTTTTTCCTCCTACACAGAGGAAACATATTAACAATAGCTGCAGCAGCAGCAGCAATATGCTCTAACATGCAGCAACAGCAACAACAGCAGCAGACGGGGGCCCCGGAGGGGCCCCCGTCTGCTGCTGCCTCTTCTTTTCCCCCTCGTTCTTCTCCTGTACATGCAATAGCTGCCTCCCTCAGCAGCACCACCAACTCCAGCAGCAGCATCCCCAGCAGCAGCAACATCCCCAGCAGCAGCAGCAGCAACAGCAGCAGCAGCAACAGCAGCAGCAGCAGCAGCAGTATAGGTATAGACCGTTGTAAGGAGGCGTCCTGTGGTGATCGTCTTCGTATAAAGAATCGTTTTGTTGTTGATCCTCCAGATAGATTAGATATAGGACAATGCTCATGGTCTATACTACATACTGCAGCAGCAGCAGCAGCAGCAGCAGAAGATACAGCTGCAGCAGCAGCTGCTGCAGCACCAACTGCAGCACTCAGGGAGGAAAAGATGGTGAGTTCATGATTTATCTGTTGCTGCTGCTGCTGCTGCTGCAGTTTATATACAGACGTAGCTGCTAGATGCATGCATACAGTGCAGGGTAGTATTATCTGCTGCTGCTGCTGCTGCTATATCTTTTTGTGCTACATTTCCTGCTGCTGCTGTTGCTGCTTCTGTTGCTGCTGCTGTTGCTGCTGCAGCGGCAGATAACT